GCTTGCATGTGAAATCAATGATATTGTTCTATAGTTTCCACACTCAGTGGGGTCACCTTTCTTTGGAATGGGAACAAATATAGATCTCTTCCAGTCAGTTAGCCAAGTGGTTGTTCTCCAGATTTCTTGGCACAACTTCGTGAGCACATCCAGGGCAATATCTGTGATCTGAAATACTTCAATTGGTATACCATCTATTCCTGGGGCCTTATTTTTTGCTATTTCCTTCAAAGCAGCTTTAACTTCTTCTTTCATCACCATAGGCTCTTGCTCATATGTTATTTCATTAAATTCTTCTGTATCTGCCAATTCCTTTCTATACAATGACTCAGTATATTCCTTCCATCTTCTTTTAATACTTCCTGGATCATTTAATATTCTGCACAAAGCATCCTGGATTATAGCAACTCTAGGTTTGAATTTGTTCTTCAGTTCCTTGAGCTTAAGAAATGCTGAGCGCACTTCCGGCAAGGCGGTCTGAGAACCACGAGGACCCGAGAGGTTTGTCGGCCATTGTGTCGGTGTTGGCAGGACTGCGCGATCAGGAGCTGAGTGACCACAGCAGCTGCCCTCTTGGCCACACTCCTACCTACTGTCCCTGAGCAGCCATCATGCCTCGTGGGCAGAAGAGCAAGCTCCGTGCCGAGGAAAAGCGCCGCCAGGCCCGAAGGCAGAACCAGGGTCCGCAGGGTGCTCAGGCCTCCCCGGAGCTCTCTCCTGAGCCTGAGGGCACACCCCAAAGTTCTTCTACTGCTGGTAGCCCTCAGGAGCCAGCCCCGGGTCCCAGCACTCAGGGTGCAGCACTGGCTGGAGGTGCAGCACAGACTGAAGGTGGACATCGCTCCCAACCAAGAGCTCGCAAAGAGGAGAAGAACGGAGCTGATGAAGGGCCGAGCTCGGAGAACACCGCGAGCTCCAGTAAGTCCAGAGATCCTCTCAACACCAGGTCCTGTCTCCTGATGCAGTTGATGCTTCGCAAGTACAAAATGGATGAGTTCATCACCAAGGAAGAGATGTTGAAGACCATCACCCGAAAGTACAGGAAGCAGTTCCCGGAGATCCTTAAGGTCACCACCAAGCGCCTGGAGCTTGCTTTCGGCATCTACCTAGAGGAGCAACACCCCTGTGGTCACGTCTACTCTCTCGTCTGCAAGCTAAACCTTCCCAGCAATCCCACCACAAGAGGTCAGAGAGAGTTGCCCAAAACCGGGCTCCTCATGCCTCTGCTGGGCATGATCTTCATTAATGGCAACAGAGCCACTGAGAAAGAGCTCTGGGAATTCTTGAATAAGCTGGGGGTCTACGTTGGGGAGGAGCACCTCATCTTTGGGGAGCCCAAGAAGCTGGTCTCCAATTTTGTTCAAGCAAAGTACCTGGTGCACAGGCTCTTAGCCGGCAGCTGCCCTCCACGTTTTAAGTTTCGGTGGGGCCCCAGAGCCTACGCTGAAGTCAGCAAGATGGAAGTCCTGGAGTTTTTGACTAAAACCAACAGCACCAACCCCAGTGATTTCACAGCCGAATATCAAGAGGCACTAGCAGAGCAGCAAGAGAGAGCCAGAGACAAAGGTGCTGCTGAAGTTGGTCCTGCTGCCCCAGGAAAGGCCAAGGCCAAGGCCAAGGGTGCTGGAGCTTCCACCCCCTAGGGAAATGAGAGGGGATTCCCTACTTTGTGCTTAATAAAGTCTGTTAACCTCAGTAGTGGAAGACATGGTGGGGCTGAGGAGGGGTAGGATGCATTCAGTATTATCTTCCCCCTATCTTCTGTTTTTAGTTTTTTTCACGTTATTCCTTGTAATAGCTAATTCAGAATCTATGAGTCGTATGGATCATCTGTTTATTGCTATTCATCAGGCTTAAGAGTGCTATTTTGTGTTTTGCCAGCCAGCATAGTGTTAAAATAGAGATCTTCCTGAACGTGCAAAAGCACCTCAGATAGTGAGGATGACGAGATGGAGAAATAAGAAGCCAAAGGTGATCAGTTCTTTGTTACCTGTAGTCCTTTCAGTCTCTCTTTAGATACAAATAAAAGTTATACACCTGTTTTGTTTAGCTTGTAGAGATACAAGAGAGAATTGCATGAAAAGCAAAAAAAACAAAAAAAAAAACAAAAAAAAAAAGAAATGCTGAGTGTGTTTGGCCCTTTTGATATTCTGACTCTAGCTCCTTGCACATTTCATTGTAGTATTTTGCTTTGTCATTCCAAGCTGCCTTTTGGAATCATCTGTTCAGCTCTTTAGTATCTTGAATTCATCCTTGTGCTTTGGCTTCTCTATGCTCCAGTGCCATCTTCAGAGTCTCTTCTGACATCCATTTTGGTCTTTTCTTCCTCTTCTGTCTTTGTAATGACCGTTTGCACTCTTCCTGGATGATACCTTTGACATCCTCCCACAACTCATCTGGTCTTCGCTCATTTCACACCTGTTCCTGAGATGATTCTGAAATTCAGGTTGTATGAAATCAAAGTCATATTTTGGCTGCTGTGAATTTGGTTTAATTTTCCTCAGCTTCAGCTTGAACTTGCATATGAGTAATTGGTGGTCTGTTCCACAATCAGCCCCCGGCCTAGTTTTCACAGCTGATATTGAGCTTCTCCAGCGGTTCCTTCCACAGATGTAATCGATCTGATTCCTATGCATACCATCAGGTGAAGTCCATGTGTATAACCTGCATTTGTGTCTCTTCTAAAATGTATTTGCAATGAATAAGTCATTGATTGTACAAAATTCAATCATTCTATCTCCAACTTCATTTCTGTCACCAAGCCCATGTTTTCCAACTACTGATTCGTCTTCTCTGTTCCAAACTTTTGCATTGCAGTCACCCATTATTATCACCAATTTTACATAAACTATTTCAGAAACTAGAAACATATGGAATTCACTCAGACCCATTCCATGAAACAAACAAATCCTTTACCAAATCCAAGTAAAGACAACCAAAATAGAAAACTATAGGCCAATATCTCTCTTGAACATAGATGCAAAAATCCTCAATAAAATTCTGGCCAATAGAATCCAACAATACCTAAAAAAAAAATCACCATGCCCAAGAGAGATTTATAACAGGAATGCAAGAATGGTTCAACATAACGGAAACAATCAGTGTAATTCATCACATTAACAATGCTAAGAACAAGAACCACATGATCCTATCAGTTGATGCACAAGAGACATTTTGACAAAACCCAACACACTTTCCTGATTAAAAAATTCAAAAAAATAGGTATAGAAGGGAATTTCCTCAAAATAGTAAAAATTATATTTGCCAGTCCAAGAGGCAACATTGTTATCAAAGGACAGAAATTTAAGGTGTTCTCTTTGAGAACAGGAACTAGTCAAGGATGCCAACTATCACCTCTCTTATTCCATATTATATTGGAAGTCTTCGCAGTAGCAGTAAGATAAGAGAAAGAAATAAGAGGTACCCAAATTGACAAAGAAGAGGTAAAATTATTTCTATATGGACATGATTTGATAGTATACTTAGAAAATCCTAAAGACCCAGCAAGAAAACTCGTGGACATAGTTGACCAATTCAGCAACGTGGCAGGATAAAAGATCAACATACAAAACCTTATTGGATTTCTCTACAGTGACAAAGAGAATACAGACATGGAGCTAAGAAAAACAATACCTATCTAATAGCTAATTACAGATTAAATACTTGGGAGTAAATCTAACTAGAAACACAATGGACCTGTTCAAAGAAAGTACAAGATTAAATACTTGGGAGTAAATCTGACTAGAAACACAATGGACGTGTTCAAAGAAAGTGCAAGAAACAAGAAGAGATCTGGAGAAATGGAAGAAAATACTTGTATTTGGATAGGAAGACTCAATATTGTGAAAATGACAATTCTACCAAAGGCTATCTACATGTTCAATGCAATCCCAGTACAAATTCCAATTCCATTTTTCAACAAGATGGAAAAGGAAATTTCTAATTTCATCTGTAAAGGAAAGAGACCCCAAATAAGCAAAACACTCCTTAAAAAGAGAAACAAAATAGGAAACATTTCACTCTCTGTTTTCAAATCCTACTACACTGCTGTGGTGGTCAAGACAGTATGGTACTGGTACAATGACCGACAAATAGTTCAATGACATAGAATTGAGAACCCGGAAATCAGCTCATCTACCTGTGGGCAACTGATTTTTCACAAGGATATGAAATTAGTTAAGTGGGGAAAAAACAGCTTTTTTTAATTGATTTAGTTTGTTTATTTTTCATTTCAATGAACATCTACAGAGATTTTGG